CTAAAGGGTTAATTGCATTTAAAATCCTAACCTTTTGTTTAATTGCAAATAAAACTCAACTTTTTCAATTTGACAAAAAAACCAAACGTTTAATAAGTATTGCAATTGAATCTCAAAATCAGTTTCCGGCCAAGGCACGCCTGCACAGAAGGGAAGCTTAGTGAAGGAGGTCGCTGGAAGTTGAGCTCGCGGCTGGGGGAAGCTCGCCGGAGAGGAACGCCGTGGAAGTCGACGTCGGGGAGAGAACGTCGTGGGGGTTGGCCAGAAATTTCCAAAGAAGATGATCGGAAAAGTCGCCGCCAGAAAAAGTCACCGATTCCCGCGAAGGTGGACGTCACTAGATGCGGATTTGCGAGAAGATTTTAACGGTACCTTCGGATTCTCATGGGTCAAAGCGAGTCACCGAGAATTTGCAAAAGAACGCCGGAGAAAATTTGTAGATCTACGAGCTTTGACCGTGAACTTGAAAGCCTTATTGTTGGAATTTTTTCGTGAAACTCGGATATGATATCGGCACGGAGGAGAGCTACAAGATTATATAAAATCTTTCAACATCCGACGAAATTAGCCGGCGGCGGGTGGCGGTCCGGCGGCGGCGGGTGGCGGTCCGGCGGCGGCGGAAGGTGATTGGCGGACGGAAATTGATTTTGAGACACAATTGCAATATTTATTAAATGTTTAGTGCTTTTTTATCAAATTGAAAAAATTGAATTTTATTTGTAATGATGCAATGTTACGATTTTAGATGCAACCCTTCTCTAAACTATTATATTTGGGAATAAAACCACTGTATTAGGACATCTTTAATTGGGAGGTTTAAAGAGGTTTGTAAAATCAAACCTCATGGTTTTGCTATTAAAGTGAATAGGTTCAAGGTTTAGAATTTTGAACCGGTGTTGCTTTCACAAACCTTCCTGCAAATTAAAAAATAAAACAAAGAAAAAGAGAAGAGAGAAGGGAGAATAAAGTAAACTTTCTCATTTTATGGTTTATTTGCTAGTATGGTGCAACACACGCGCAAATGGAGAGTGGAGAGTGGGCTCCAGCTTGATATAATTGTCCCCTCATTTTTCATTTATTTTGTGACCATTTTATATTAATAATTTATTTCCCACTTGAATTGTCCCCTTATTTAACAATAATTAATAATTAAAGTTAGAAATTTCATATTATTTAAATATAATAATATTTTAAGTTTTAAAATATAATTTTTATTTTTAATTTTTAATAAACAAACGTATAATGAACATGATAAATATAGAAGTATGATATTAACCTAACAATTGAAAAAAACATATACTAAGAATCTTTACTTGTGAAAGAAAGAAGTAAAACGAGGTTGTTTGGTATAAAAAAAAAATTGTACTCCAATTTAATTTCAGCATTATTTAATTTCTATGTTTCATAATTTTTTTAAATAAAAATTTATATTAGTACATACTCATCACTGTATAATTATAAATAATTTAATATAATTATATATACTTATATTATTATTTTATATGTATTTATGATAAATATATAAAATAATTACATTGAATAAAAAATAAAATAGAGTTGTAGTTTTAAAATATTAATAAAAATATAAAAGTGTATTATTATTTAAAAGTGGGAAACATATTGTTATTATTGAAAGTTTATGGGTGTTGGAGTAATAATGAGGTTTTGGATAATGTGACATGTCCAAAAATGTAAAAGGAGGTTTTGAATGATGTTGCATGTTGGAAAGTGTAAAAAGAGATTTAGCATGGTTTATGGATAAAGATGCTCTTAGATCAACTCCAACCCTGCGCTATGCGCTGGAGTTGTGTTGATTTTTCCGCTCCAGCCCTTGCGCTAGATGTTGCGCTATTCCACAGATGTGAACAGTGCATCGCCAGATCTGGCGATGCACTGTAGCTCATCTTTACATTTTTTTTTTTTTTGCTTTTTGTTTATTTTTTTTTATGTATTATTATTGGTATTTTTGTATAATGTATATTAGTAAATGTATTTATTACGCTAAATAATTTGTACAATGTATTTTTTACGCTAAATAATTTTATACTTTTTATTTATTAATGTATTATAATTTATTTTATAATTTTTTAATATTAAAATGATACCATATGAATAAAAATTTAACACACTCAAACAAGTTTATTTCATTAAAATT